GAGTACTCACTGGACATATTATGGTACCTGTATAGAGTTTAATAAGAAAGGGGGAAAAACAAATAGTTATATGATGCCAGACATTAATACTACTTTTGATTGGTAAATGAGATGTTAGCAGCTAGTTTATTTTAATTATAAACATTTGGATGAAAATAACATGCAACTTATTCAAAGTTCTATGAAAACAGAATTTATAAAATGACTTTTTTTCTAAATTGGATTCTAAAAGCATGATAATTTAGTGAAATTATTCTTGGCTTTTAGAACACAGGAGAAGTCCCAATTGGAAAACTATTTTTAATGCCAAATATAAAAAGTAAAAACTTTTGTATGTGTTTTGTCAGTTATTTGGGATAGGTCCAAATTCTAGGCTGAATATGTACAGGTAGAGTCAACTAGGAGTGCTCAGGTAGACTCCTGAGTTATTTAAGAATAAAATTTGTGTTGGGTCTAAATTTAACATATTATTAACCAACTGTTGAACATCCAATAAATACTTGAGATTTTAATTTCATAAATTAAGTTTACATTGAATATTTGACAAAATGAATACTTTTGACGTGAGATTACCATGCCTGTGAAGAAGACGTAAAAAAAAAAAAAATCTGGTATGGTGATTTGTTAATTGAAACAAATACTATATATTTTTAAACTTTTTCTTGTGGCATTAGAATTATTATAATTATCTCTCAATTAGTTCATAATCTGAATAATCTTTAAATAGTTTGATTAAAATGGCAATTTCTTATGCCTCACTTTTGTGTTAACTCTTTATTTAGCTTAAAGCTCAAAATGATCGAGAAACACAAAGTATGGATATCATATTTACAGAAAGACAAGCGTAAGTACAATCCATATAGAAATAAAACATTTATAAGTGAGTTGTATTAGGTAGTTTAACTTCTGAGTCATATACTTCCTTACTGATTTTCTTGTTTTTCCCTGTTGTACTCTTTAATTTAAAAAAAAGTTGAATATTTGCAATGCAAATTATTATTTGAACATCTATTATCTTTATTTACTACTAAGTACTGAAATTCTCTACAAGTAAAAGTACTGTATAGATTAGATAGCTATAATTTCTACTTCTAGGAGTTTAAAAGTCTTAAGATGGATCAAAACATTCTTATCTTTACGGTTTATAATTTTAACCTGGGCTTTTTAACTAATTTGAATTATGAGATTTAAACCCCGTTCTAATGAAAGGCACATTACTTACAGTATTTCATTATCTCATATATTATCCAATTGATAATAGTTATATTAGTAATCCATATCATAGGTTTAGATTATATGTGCATATTTATATATAACTGGTTAAAGATTAAATATTAAGGGAATTATGGCAGTGACACTAATGCCTACAAAATAATAAGTGGATGTCCATTTGGGCTGCTATAACAAAATATCATAGACTGGGTATCTCATACACATTAGGAGTCTATTGTTCACAGTTTTGGAGTTTGGGAAGTTCAAGATCAAGGCACCATATGGTCCCTTTCCTGTGAAGGCCCTCTTCCTGGTTCATGCCTGGAGCCTTCTGGCTGTGTCCTCACGGGGTGGAAGGGTCTGGGGAGCTTTGGGATCTCTTTATAAGGGCACTAATCTCATTCATGAGGGCTCTATCCTCATGACCTATTCATTTTCCAAAGTCCCCACCTACTAATACCCTTAATTTGGGGGTTAGGATTTTCACACGAATTTTAGAGGGTGCAACTATTCAGACAACGGCAATGGTTTAACATAATTTTCTTCATCTGCATTTTGACCTTAAATATTGTCTAAGGCAATGCAAACATAGTTGAGCTATTTTGTACATACATATACTACCTACATTTTGTCCCAAAAATATATCAATAGTAATCTCTTTGAGAGCAAGGATAATAGTTTACCAAAATTAACAAAATTCTATAACACCAAATATACTGTCATGTTACCTCTGCATGTACAGTAAATATTTAATGAAAACTAGCATGTTAAAATATAATAATAAAAATTTTGAAAGATAAATACAATTCTTGTGTTGATCGAAAACAAAGAAATCTCTTTCCCCTCCATTATTTGATGCTCCTGTAAAATGCTGTCTTAAAAACTACATATACTGGAAGTGTCTTCCCTTGTACAAAGGATATTCCATTTTCCTGGTGACCCAGCTCTTACATGAAAACTTTACTTTTTGTTATTGTTGTTCTGTTATTTAGTGCAAATATTTATCATTTACTTTATATAAGATACTCTGCTAGGTACCTAAAGAATAATATAAATAATATAAATAATATAGCCCATTGAAGTCCTTATGATATTTACAATATGTAGGTCCTCATTTATTTAATCATTTATTTACAGACTTACATAATACCTAGGTCAAATTTGTAAATATTATATGTACATGTTTCATAGATATTTCATCCTAAATGATAAACCACAGATTATAAGTTTGAGAATGTTACAGATTTTTTATTTTTATTTGGCTCATTTGGTTGAAGAAATAGTTCTTAAAATATACAAGTTTGTTCTAAAAGTGTCAGCAGTTTCAAAACTTCATATCCGTAGTTTGTAATTGAGGCTGAATGAAATAGGTTCTCCTGAACCTTTTAAGAAGAAATTTAAGTTATGAACAAAAGTTATTTTTATGAAGTTTACTTTTATAGGCAGCAGAATAGATTTATTTTATGTGTTAAGCAGATAACCAAAATCTCACTAACACAAAGATCTACCTTGATACTCCTCATTCAAAGGGAGCAGGAAATGCCATTCCTTTTGAAGGCAGGTGTAAAAAACTTCTGTTTTAATGTTCTTCTACTTTAATCTCACCATTTAGTATGGCATGACCATCTGGTTTATTACTGAACATCTATTCATAATAAGTTGGTTATGATATATAGCCTCGATATATTACTACAATTCTTACACACCTGACTTTAATTCAGTTATATACAGCTGCATGAGCTAATGATTTTCTTCAACTTCTGTTGTATATACTTTTCTAGTTTGGTATTAGTTAAAAATTAGTTATCTTTTAAAAACATATGTAATTATAATTTTAAGCCCATTTATTTATTTTTGTTTAGTCAGATATTTATTGACTACCCAATATTCATTTATAAGAGGCTCTTGAATATAAGAGATTAATGTAGTCTTTACTGATTCATATTTAAATTTTATTTTATTCTGTTTCTCAAATATTAATATTTGCCTCTTAAAATATGACATATTTGGTAAAATGATAGATTATTTAGAAAAAGATTCCTCATGTTTCTATTATCTCATTTATACTTGAGATCGAAAACAATGGAATATAATTGATAATATCTATTAGGAAATAGTATGCGTAAAGCATTTATATTCTTTAATGAATACTAAAAACACTTTGATAAACACAAGCAAATATGCATGATAAATGAGTTCATTTTCTATTTCACTGGGTATATCACCCTAAACACTTTTTGTTTTCCTCATAGACATTTGAACTGAATTTATGTATTGATACAAACTTTAAAATGACTGCAGAATATAACGAACGTCTACATTATTTGTAGTCTCTTTTTTTCTAAGAAAGTACCAAGTAAATACACATTTTAAAAACTGTGTTATAGAGAAATTTGAACAAAAATAAAATAATGTACTATAGTCCTATGTACCCATGACCCAGCTCCACAACCAACCCTGCTTCATGTACACCTTTAGCCATTGTTCCCTTTTCTGTACTATGAAGAAAATCGAAAACATCATTTCACCCATGAATATATTTCAGTGTTTTAGAGATATTTCCTGTAAAAGATAGAGATAAATACATTTAACCTTCCCACCTATGATAGATTTTGTTACAGTTTTTAATGCCACTATTTCCATTAAATTAATAAAATTATGATTACAGCCAATTGATTACAAGGAATTGACTTTTAGACTCTTCCTATAATAGTCTTAAGGCCAGTGTTTTTCAGACTATGTTCTTTGGACCCTTATTGTGCTATGAGCTCTTAGTAGGCATACCTTAAAGAAAGGTTGGAAAATTCTTGATACTTTGCTTTTAGCTTAGTAAAGTTTCAGATGAGTCCTATATAGTAAAGAATCTTGTTTCACGTTGTTTAAACCTAGTATTTCCTATAGTAATTCTTTAGTAATTTGACCATTTACAAATTCCCCCCCCGTCGATACTTCTGAATGTCTCTCTGGAAATTAACGTTCTAGAAAACAGTTTGGGAAACATTCCTCCATGATCTGGATCCCAAACAGTTGTTCATGGACCAACTGAAGATTTCTCAGCCCCAACACAACTTATTTGAATAGAAATCTCACTAAGAGAGACAGAAATATGTATTTTTAAAAATAAGATTATTTATAGATCATTTTGATAACCTGTGTTGTGGTGACAATCTTTCTTTATAACCCAGATCAGTAATAATTTATTAGGGATTGTGCCTGGACATAGTGCTATGCTCTAAATTGCTACTAAGTTTTCAGGGAATTATTGTGCCAATTCAGGAAGCATTAAAAAAATGTTTTCCAATTCCATGAATTCATTCGGTGAGCATAAAAAAATCCACCCAAGTGCATTGTCAGTTTAAGCTATCTCTGTTCCTTACTCTGACTTATGATATAAATCCAAAACCTTTATTTCTCTACTGATTCCAATAAGTAAAATATTAATATAACTTATCTGTATTATATCCAATATATGAACTAATATGAGAATCAGTTTATTTTAATTAATTAATAATTTACTTTAGGCTTTTTTTTTTAAATAGTATGTATAGTCTTCTGAATACTGCTGAGAATAGTGTTGTAACTATTAGCTACCAAGGAGTGTCAGTTACGGTATTTGGACTAACTTTTTCAATACCAATGAGAAAAACATAATTTTATGATATTAATATGTGTTGCAATTAATATGAAGTTCTACTAGCTATAGTTAGGTATGTCACATATGAAAATCTCCATGTCTAAACTTTCAGTGAACTGGTAACATTTTTAAAATAATCAAAAATTGAAAGAAATTAATTTTCTTCACATAATTCATGAGTATCTATGTATTTGTCTTCAATAAACCCATCATCATCCACTACAAATGAATGTAGTTGTTCAAATATTACTGTAGTGTCTTCGGAGTTTGTATCTGGTATCTGTGAAAGGGAACTTGGATTTTGGGTAAAACCATCTTCATAGGTTTCTACTTCATGTTCTTCCAGGTGATGATGTTTATAGCTAAGCAGAAAATTATACCATATTGGCAATTTGATAGCAATAAAAATGAGGAGAGAGGTCACCAGTACAGTCATTACAACACCAACAAGAAAAGCCCAGCTTTTTCCAAGAGGTCCATGTTCTTAAATAGGATACAGAGACAGGGAGAGAGAATGAGAGAGGGAGAGAGGGAAGATACTTTGTTAAATTGACAACAAAAATTAGACATCTTAATAACTCCCCAATATTGGTATTAGAAATGAATATACTTTATAATTTTCTTTAAGCAAAAGTTAATAAAACTACACAATAAAAATATAAAGTTATTTCCTACAGTGGTAAAAGAATAACTCCTGTCTTTACAGGGATTGTTTATCCATTCACCTAGGAACATTATTGATTTATACATTTTAAGAATTGTGACTTGCCCTGGCGATTTGGCTCAGTGGATAGAGTTGGCCTGCAGACTGATAGGTCGGGGTTCGATTCAAGTCAAGGGCTCAGACCTTAGTTACAAGCTCCATCCCCAGGCCTCCATCCCTGGACAGGACATCTGTGGGAGGCAACCAATCTATGTGTCTCTCTCACATTGATGTTTCTTTCTGTCTCTCTCCTTCCCTTCTACTCTCTCTAAAAATCAGTGGAGAAATATCCTCAGGTGAGGATTAACAAAACAAAAGGAGAATTGTGACTTTACTAGTTAAAATTAAGCCTACAAGTAGTTAAATAATATGCCCAGTGGCATTTGCCTGGTAACCAGCAGAGCCTGTTTTGGAAACCCAGTATTTTGTAAATCTTTTGTTGACATGAGGAATTTTACATTGTTTCTAGTAACTTAAAATGCAGAAAAACAATGAGAACTAATTTAGTTTTTTAGTATGCTATCTTCAGCAATGTTAGTATTCAATACCGGTACATTACCTGAATTTCTTGTTAAGTTGTTCAAAGAGCTATTAAATGTTGAATTGCTAATTGACTGAAAATTAATCTGAAGGTCTTCAGTTATAGGTGAAGGAAGTTTTGAGTAGCATTCAGCCTTATAAGGTACTGTTTTGATGCTGTAGTATTTCAGTATATCTGGGTAGCTGCACATGGTGATATTCTCATTTTCTAGTAAATCAGAAAGAATAAATTATGATTTATTATGGAAAATAAAATATGGTTAATAACATTTTATAATTATGTAAATTAGAATTTTTTGACATGTCATTATTGATACTATAAGAAACTCCTATATTGCCTGGCAACACAAGGGAAAGATGCACATTCCTGTTTATAAAGTTATTTTATAAATATAGTTACTAGGTACAGTATCTATATATTGTTTAGTTTGTAATAGTAAAGATGTTACGATTAAGATTGTAGTGAAAATCTGGGTAAAATGGGAAACTTTTCTGGGGCAAAACAACCAAAAATCAATCACATTTTTGGTTTTGATTAATGTAATAATGATAGCTTACCTAATGTTACATTGGATGTGTTTAGCCAATTCTGCAAATTCAGTAAATTACAGGAGCAATTCCATGGATTTCCATGTAAAATGATTAATTCCAGATGAAACAGTTGTGGTACATCAAAATAGCTTATCAAATTGCCTTGCAGATTCAGAAGTTTCAGGTTTTTAAGAGGCACAAATATATCAGGATTCAGTTGTAATATTTTGTTCTGGCATAGATATAACTGTTGTAGTTTAGTTAAGCCTGTAAATGCACCCTGTTGAATTATGTGGATGGAGTTTCTACAGATATTTAAAATTCGTAGATTGGAGAGGTTACCAAAACTATTATTACATAAGATGATGATACTGTTTTCAATCAAGTAGAGCTCAGTGAGTAAATAATACATCTGTAGAATACTTGTGTCTGTAATATTCAGAGTAATTTGGTTATAACTGAGATCAAGTATAGTAACCTCTTTATTGATATCCGCTGGAATCAAATAATAATTCTGTTTAGTGAAATTACATTTGACTTCCTAAAAAATAAAAAAGAAATGTATTAATCAGAAAAATATTAAAAGAATTTTCTAAATTTCATATCCTAGCAATTAAACATTGGAAGAAAATAGTTTAGAAAAAATCTACTGTCTAATCTTTCAATATTATAGTTTGAAAAAGGAAAAGCTGATGCTTTTCTTTATTGGGATGAAATATTGAAGATTAAGGAAATTCTGATATGTATAATTTATTGAGCAGGGAGATTCTAGTTTGTAATACAGGTGTCTTCTAACTGTTATTGTATAATCATTACAGAAAGAAAGACTTTTGGTATATTCCCATTTGTATATGTGGAAATACATGATGAATAATAATTCTGTTAAAAAATGAAGTCTGCGTTTGTCAAATTAGAATCTGGCTCAGAGATCACAGATTTTGAACATACCCAGCTAACTAAAGAGTTAGTTTTGATGGCTTGGTTTGGATTTTTTGTTTTTTTGCTTTCTTTTATTACTTTGGGACATTCAAAGTGTACCTTTGAAAATATTTTCACTCTCTTGATTGTAAAAACTTACTGTTTTAAAAGTCTGGCTTTCATCTGAAAGTGTTAGCATGAAGAGGGGCCAAAACAAGATCAGTATGCATGCGGCTTTCATATTGCAGGCCTGGTGGAAAAGAGAGTATTGTCATGTCAGTAGGTGACTAGCACTTCAGAGATTATTGAAGACATTTTGCTTTCCTTTTAAATCTATTTTTTCTTAAACTATATAAAATGTGAAACAATTACATGTTCCTTCACCATCCCTGTACTCTAATCTTAAATTAGAAAACTCATATGGAGAATGAAAGACAGTATTTTTTTAAGTGTCTCAGTTTTTTAAGTGTCTCTTTGGATCTATTGAAAATAAGGTCCAGCCCTAACCGGTTTGGCTCAGTGGATAGAGCGTCGGCCTGCGGACTCAAGGGTCCCAGGTTCGATTCCGGTCAAGGGCATGTACCTGGGTTGCGGGCACATACCCAGTAGGAGTGTGCAGGAGGCAGCTGATCGATGTTTCTCTCTCATTGATGTTTCTGACTCTCTATCCCTCTCCCTTCCTCTCTGTAAAAAATCAATAAAATATATTTTAAAAAAAAGAAAGAAAAATAAAATAAGGTCCAGCCCTAGCTGGTTTGGCTCAGTGGATGGAGCTTCGGTCTGCAGACTCAAGGGTCCCGGGTTCGATTCCAGTCAATGGCATATGCCCAGGTTTCGGGCTTTATCCCCAATAGGGGGCATGCAGGAGGCAGCCAATCAATGATTCCCTCTCATCATTGATGTTTCTATCTCTCTTTTCCTCTCCCGTCCTCTCTGAAATCAATAAAAATATATTAAAAAAATAAGATCCAGAAGAATATGTATTTATGTATATGTGTTTAAGTATACTCTTCTTTTCCTTTATATTTTTTAATCACCATTTATCTCCCCTATACCCTCCTTCACCTCCACCCCCACTTCCCATCATCACCACACTGTTGTCCATGTCAATGAGTAGTATATTCTTATATTGCTATTTCTTTTTTTCTTTTTTTTTTAATTTAGGTATTCTTTATTGGTATTATCCATTTACCTACAAGTGTGGGAGATAAGAGTCTTTAGTTCTCTTTCAAACACTTCCTACTTTCATCTCTAACACAACAAATATATATACTTCCTGTCTCTTTAGTCTTCATACATAGTTACTTATAATTTGGGTTAGATGAGTATTCCATGTGTCACAAATGTGTAAAACTATCAGTGTCTGAGCCATATAACAGGATTACTTTTCTATTCCTGCTCACAATTTTTCACTAAATTAAATGTATTGTGTTGTTGTTTTTATGGGCTTAGTTTTCTTCTTTTTTTAATGCATTTATACCCAAGCCCTTCTTTAACAAATCACTCAATGTTGCATGCATTTTTGATATTTAATCTGCTTAAAGAAGTCTCTCCCAGAGCCTGTTGCCATGCTGGAACCTAGAGGAGCTGAGGACTGTACCCTCTACACAGCTGCTGACTTCCACTCTCCCTCCACCCTTATGGGGAGATATTCCCTTTTGTCTTTATGGTTGGAGGCCTGTGTTCTAGAATGCCTGTCTTGGATTACTGCTTTTTTTTTTTTTTTAACCGAGTTTTCTGCAATAGCTTCCTAAGAAGGTCTATACGTGGGAAATTTTTTTAGACCTTGAAAGATAATTTGGTTAGAAGTAAAGTTATAAATAGGAAGTGGTTTTTTCTCAAACTGTTGATGGCATTGCCTCATTGTCGTAGGGTTTTTAGTATTACTGTTAAGAACTGTGATGCTATGCCATTTTAATTCTTTATCCTTTTATGTAACTTGCCTCTTCTTAAGATTTTAAAATCAATATTCTGAAGTGTCATGGATCTTCCTGAGACTCTGTTTTCATTCATGAAACTGGGTACTTACTTGGTGGGTGCTTTCAATCTAGAAGTTCTATCCCTCAGTTCTGGGAAACTTTCTGAATTATTTCATTGATAATTTTCTTCTCTGTTTTGTTGTTGTTTGTTTGTTTGTTTTTTAAGTCTCACTACTCTTTAGAACTGCTTTAATCTGGTGTTTGGGTGTTGGATCTCCTAGAATGATTTTCTAATATTTTATCTTGAATTGCCTATATTTCATTTTATTCTGCTTTCAAGAATATATCCTCAATTTTACATAATCTCTTAAAGTTTTCCTTTTCCACTCATTTTAATTCTAAGAGCTCTTTTTGTTTTGTGAAAATTTTCTTTAATAGTATCTTACAGCATAAGTTGTGTCTTGTATCTTCCATGTTCCTTTTCCTTTAATAGCCTCTATGTCTTCTTGTTATGCTTTTCCACTTTATAATGGTCAGTATCCTTTATATTAGAGACATTCTGTCTTCATATATCTGTTAATATTTGGTTTGGAACTTACAGATAAGACTGGGAAACAAAAAAGCTCTTTGGATACATTTATATAGGTCTTATTTCTGTAGAGTAAAAAACTTACTGGACTGTTTCTTTGGGAATCCCTAAATGTCATTATCTTGAGATCTTTTCCTTGGACTAGTTGGATTCCCAAAATGATTTTTCTTTTTTTGGTAGTCCTCACCGGTGGTATTTTTTTCCATTGATTTTTAGAGAAAGTGGAAGGGATGGGGGGAGAGAGACACACACACACACATTGATTGGTTGCCTCCTGCACGAACCTCAACCAGGTCCCTATGCCCTTGACTGGAATTGAACTCTGTCCCCCTCAGTCTGAGGGCTGATGTTCTAACCACTGAGCAAATGGACTAGGGCCAAAAATGACTTCTCTAATTTGCCTGAACAGATAAAGCCAAATGACTAGCATTTTGAGAACTGAATGGTAGAAAAGGTGGGTTTATTTCAATAATTAGTATCTAAACCTTAACTTACTTTCCCTTTTTTTTTTTTTTGGCATAATGATCCTGCATTCATTTGTGCTTATTGCCAGATGCCCTTTTTATTCTCCTGAGGGGTGGGGGGTTGGGGGGGGAGCCTTAATCTTCTGTTTATGTGGGAGAGGAGCTTTACCTGACTGGGCAGAGACAGGCAGGAAACTTTAAACTATGTTCTAGTACAGTGGTCCTCAGTCTTCGACTAACGAGTTTTTTGAAATACCAGCTGTCTCTTGGCCGATTTTTTGCATTGAGTTGACAGAGTAATTTGAGTTAACAAGCTCCTTAATGAGCTCGGTCTTGGAACGAATTAAACTCGTAAGTCAAGGCCCCACTGTATGTTCTAGCCCAGTGGTTCTCAACCTTGGCTGCACATTAGAATCACCTGGGAATCTTCTTAAAATCCTGATTTCTGGGCCTCATCCTCCGGAAATTCTGTTTCTTTGTTACTACTGTTGTGGCCCCACCCCATAACAAAGAAACAGAATTTCTGGAGGATGAGGCCCAGAAATCAGGATTTTAAAGATTCCCAGGTGATTCTAATGTTCAGCCAAGGTTGAGAACCACTGTTCTACCCCCTCCTCTACTTCCAGAACACCTGGTGCTGCCAGTTTCTGGACCATTTCGGCATTTTGCAGTGTAAATCCTGTGGCTCCTCAGCTTTCCACTCTGCTGGCTCAGGAAAATTTTGCTTTCCCAGTCAGTTTCCACTTAACTATTAACTGTCTAGTTTCTAGGTTTTATTGCTGTTGCGTCCTTTTTCATTCTCTTTGTTCTTATGAGTTTATATTCCTTCCTGCCTTTTATTTACATTTCAGTCAGGTTTGGGGCAGAAGTAAAAGTTAATGGGAACATTCATTATACCATCTTTCACTAGAAGTTGCCATTTATTGGAGTAATTTCTTCTTGCTTAATAGTTACTTTCCATTTAGTGATTTTACTCATGACATTCATGCTTCTTGTTTTTATATGTACATTTTTTAAGTCAACAGTAAAAACTGCTGCAAACAAATGATGTTTGAAAGGTATGAATATATCATGTTAGTACCACCCTTAGTGGTTTTCTATAATTTGAGTCTTATTTTTCTTTTGAGCCTTTTTATTTACAGCATATGTTGCTTAATGATTTTTAAGGAAAAATTTATTCTACTAGAGCAGGAAGTAGAAAACTACTCAGAATAAGCAAGGCTCATTTCACGTTATTAAGTCTGTTACCTCGTTAGCAATGAGGTATTTATTGTTATTTTGATACCACCCAATTCTACTTAATCTACTCTTTGCCTTCAATTTGTTTATGTGTTTATACTTATTTCCCTTCTTCTTTCTCCCTTTCTGTAGCTAAATCAATTTTGTTAGAAAAAGCCACTATTCCTTCTAGATATTGCAACTTGGATATAGATCATAATAGAATCCCTTTTAGAGTCAGAAATGAGTTCAAGTTATCACTTATTCCAGACCACTGCCCACAAAAGGGTATCCCCAAATCTTATGTAAAAGGTATTTTGCCCATGTCTCATGGTCTTTAGGAATGTGTGCAGCCTCTTCATTCTCTCGTTTCAGTAGTTCTCAGTGGTGTTGTGAAGTTCTTACTGTTGTCTCTGGCAGGGTCCAGATGTGGGTAAGGGAGAAGCGCTATTTTTTTCTAGAATTAAAAGGATAGGGATCATTAAAGGAAGCAATTAGACTGCAAAGAAAATTAAGTGAACTTAAGTAAAAAGTTGATATGGAGTGAAGTAGCTGAAGAAGGTAATGGGGTCAGGGAGGACCGTGAGCCTATATGGAAATAGAAATAGGATCATCTTGTATTTATTATTTTTATCATCTATTTAATACTAATTATTTTCTCCAGTGTGCTAAAGGAAATAACATTATTAGAAAGGAAGCATTTCTTTCTCTTTGATAGATTTTAAAGTTAGAAGCAGTATGCACTCAGAGCTTAAAGTAGATTCTGTATAAGAAAGCATTCAACAATCTAAAGCATTAGGTCTAAAGCCATGAAATGCATTGATTGAGCTCCATGATCAATGGGGCTTTCTGTATATTTGTATATCTTTTGAGAAGGGAAAAATTGAGAAAGGGGATAGATGTTGACCATCCAGACACTGAATGGATAAATCCCTAGACAGAGGAAACATTTGCTAGCATTATTGGCTATCTTGAAGAAATCAGATTGTCAGAATAGATAGCCAGTAGATTATGAAGAAAATGTTCTTGAGTCAATTTACCCCATTTAAAA